GAGAGAAGTGGATGACAGATAGAGAGTGAGCACGCAGAGCTTCAAGCATGAAAGGCTCAAGCATGCAAGAAAGTACCCTGGGTGCTCAGTGCTCACTCTCTTCTGTCACCTCCCTTACTCTAAATCCCCCTTTTTTTCAGCAGATCAAACCCCATGCTCTGGAGCTTGAGCTATACATATGACCCCTATATATTATATATATACCCAGAAATGTTCCAATACTCGGCATCTGAAACGTCTCTTTGGTTTGTTTTGCTTTGCTTTGGTGTGGGAAACTATGGCGTTTGGTGGGGCTTTATATAGAATGGGAAAGAAGGTGGTTGCATCACGTTTGGAATAAACGTCGCTTCTTTGGTCAGCCCCACTTATATTTTAATACCATCTTCCAGAAATTGAATAAAGTTTAGTTATTGATAAGTATTAGTTCAATTACAATAATTGGTGTTACAAAAAAAATGAAAGTTGTAATATTAATATTAACAATGTATCGATTTGGACTCTATATAAAATCAACTTCTTCGATTGTCTTTGTTCGTCGCCGGTCACCATTAACAACAAGAGTAGTACTAAAACGTTCATATTTTACTACTTTTTTTTCTTTTTTGATATAGTTTTTCACAAAAATTAATTCAAAAACAAAAAAAATTATCTAAAGGTTTAACATTCTAAAGCATTAATCTCCTTGATTTCAAGATATGTTGTTTGACTTCTCGAAAGAACATTTTCACCGTTTGAATTTTTGTAAAATTTGAGAAAGTCCTTAAAATTAAAAAAAATTATAGATTTCTTGTGTTTAATTTTGTGAACTCTAAAGAGTTTTTGAGAAAATCTGGATCAATAAAATGATAAAGAATAATGAGACGAGTTCATGAGTTCATGTATATAATGGCTTCAAAAGTGATCGAAGAATAGTGATTTTCTGACGATAGTTAAAAAATGATTAAAAAATTTCTAAATTTGATGAAGAATATAATATGGTGAAATAAAAAATTAAATAAAACTTAACTGTTACATTATCACAAAATTGTCAAGTGCGTGGAGGAACGCAATATTTCATGTTAGGGGTGAGCTTAAAATTAGAGCGTCGAACTAAAATTCTACCTACGAGGGGCAAAAACATATATTCAATAGAAAATACATAGAAAATTTGAAAATATATGATTATTTTAAATTTTCAGGGGTCGACTGGCCCACCCCTTGGTCCATCCTCGTCAACTGTTAATGATTTAATAACTTAGTACTTTAATTGAATTCAAAATTAATTTTCAATGCTTAAATTAAAAATGTTTTAAAATTTAATAGACCTAAAATTTTATCCTTACTGATGCAATCCGCATTGGTTCAATAATTAATCTTAATCAAGATCATAATCAGATCATTTAGCTATATGAAATACACAATCATTGTCAGAGACAGAAGCATGAATCTGTGTCAGAGGGCGTGAATATAAAAAATTATATTAAAATCTTGGGGGTGCGAAATTATAAATCTCATGAGGTACAAAATTAAATAATTAATAAAATACAAAAAAATGTAAAATGTAAAGAAATTTTAAATTTTTAGGGGTACGACTATACCCAACACCTCCGGTCCTTCTTGATCATTGTTTATTCAGGACTTAACAATTATTTAATCCATTATTTTAATACTCTAATATACTAAGATGGTGGGTACAAACACAGAAAGATGTATAAAAAGATTTCCCATTATGGAAGTGGGAATGTTTTGTAAACCCTAAACTTTCCCTTTGCGATTTCAAGATTACGTTAGGGCAATATCTTATAAGTTATAATAAGGATGAACAAAATTAGTCTTGACTCGAAAAATCGATTTTTTGACTCAATTCGACTCAAGAAAACTTGACTCGAATTGACTTCGAGTTATAGTTTCATAAACTTGACTTGAAAAAATCTCAAGTTCAAATCGAGTTGTAAAATACAATTTAAATAACTCAATTTTTTTTAATAATTAGTGGGTTGTTTTAAAGTTTAAATTAAGTCCATCGAATTTGTATGATATGTGTCTATCACATATGAAAAAATATATATGAAATGAATCTGGTTACAAAAGATCATTTAAATTGAAATAAAATAATATCTCAATATTATAACTATTTATAATTAAATTTAAACATGAACTCGGAAATTCGACTCAACTCTAATTTTATAACTCGACTCGACTAAAAAAAGTTTAAATTAACTTTGAGTTATAAAATAAGACTCAATAAATAAAATAACTTAATTTTTTTAATTCGACTCAATTAGAGCGAACGTTAACTCCTCAGTCTTATAACTTTTAACGTGTATGGGATGAAGAGAAAGTGATAGGGTTCTCCGATCTGTTATACCACTTTCGGCAAGTTGGTGGATTACAAATGGAATAGGGATGCTCGAACCTGTGGGCTGAGACAGAGGATGGATCAATCGAGTAATAGTTATATTTCTTAAAAATTAAATTTATATATAATTTAAGTATTTTTATAAAAAAAATTATTTTAGTCTTTAAAAATTTTATAAGCTTATCTAAGGTATAAAATTTTATGTCAATCGCTACGAAATATGTAACCACGAGATTCTTTTACCTTTGCATCTCCTGGCACAATCTGTTCCCTTCTAGGCCAATCAGGAAAATGAATATCTTAAATTATCTTATTCTCTGAGAAAGTGTGTATATATGTTAATTAAAAAACAAAAGGAGAGGTGTGGTCCATGGAGGACCATGAACGGTCCCATGGCATTAGAACACATGAAGGAATGAAGAAAGGTCGGTTAATGGTAAGAATGTGATGGGGATCAGATGCACATGCTTCGCCCACATGCATGCTTCTTTAACTTTGCAACATCAGTCTTGGCATGCCATTGGATCCACAGGGTCGGCAAACAACACCCTTCCCATGCATGCATGCGTAAGAAACCATAAACAATGATGAAAATGACATGATATTTTGGGACTAATGGCAAAGATGAAGGAGAGGAACAAAATATATATATATATATATAGTCTTTATACCTAATTACCTAGATTTAGAGATGTCTAACACCTTCACGTGAGTGGGGATCATTCATATATATATATATATATATTATATTGAATTGTTATCCGATCTATTGACCGATTAATCTAGATCGGAAACTGCAGAGGCGAGGGCGACCCTCCCAATCCAGTTTGCTCCATTCGTAAACGACAGGATTTGAACACCTGACCTTGCTTAAGAGACCTAGTGTCTCATCCTACTAGACCAACTGGTTGTTGGTATATATATATTAATCCCTTGATCTCGTCGGATCAAGACCAATGAATCAGTACAATGTCCATTTTTGCAATCTGTAATGCATCAGTACTGTTTCCACTAGGTTGTTGGCCATGGAACCAACCTTGTCTGCTCACGTGGCACATTGTTTGGAAATGGCTTCAAACATCTGTATTGGTTATGTTTCTTGTGTATTTTGTTATTAACCCTTTTTGTCCTAACACATATTATCTAAGCTTATTCATCAGAGACCTTGTTGGTATATATCACAATGTACAGATATAAACTTCATGTGGTGCCTTGGTTAATTTTTTTTCCGATCAAGACTAAACTCAAACTGTCTTCTTTTTTATGGTCTAGCTTTTGGTAGCAAGACTGCCACTTTAAATCAGGCATGAAATTTGTATGAGTTGTTTAAACATGCGTTGCTATTTGCAGTCATGGCAGCTGCAGCTGCAGAAGGATCTCAATTTGATGCTCGCCAGTCACCAGTATGATGCTAAAATGAATAAGTTCGCTTTTTTTTTTGCTCTGTTTCTTGGCATTAGCTTTCAGAGTCATTGGTGTTTAATTAAGTTTTTATGTTCATGGTTTGTTCGATTATTTGCAGTCATGGTTTGTTGTGACCATACAGTGTCTGCTACCCATGGAGATCTGGACCAAAATACAAGGGACATTATCATGCGGGAATTTCGATCTGGGTCCTCTCGTGTGCTTATCACCACCGATCTCTTGGCTAGTGGAATCGATGTTCCTACAAGTCTCGCTTGTGATCAATTACGATCTCCCAACACAACCAGATCAGCGAATTGGTCCTAGCGGAAGATTTGGATTTGCCTTTTGGTAAGTTTTTTATGTACCTTGTCTTTTTATTTCAATTTGTATAAGATATCGGGTGTACTATATTTTTTTTTGGTTGTCCTCCAGTTCCAAGGACTAATCTGAATCGATCCGAGTCACACACAAACTTTGATGGGTGAATATCCCGCTGGAATTTTTTGGATTAACAAGGACTCAAACATGAGACCTTAGTTAAACGATATCAAGATGCTTACTACTTGAACCAACCTGGACTATATCTTGTTCATGCATTCAGAAACTTCGATAAAAGCAAGACTATATCTTGTTCATGCATTCAGAAACTTCGATAAAAGCAAAAGTCGATGGTTTCGACTTTTGAGCCGTTCGGTTGTCACTTTGCTTCCAAATTGTTCTGGCTCTAGTCCCACAATTAGGTTTGTATAGTAACTTTTGTGGAGCGTGGTCCCTGATGCAGCTCACCACCATCTGCAGGGCAGGACGCGTATTATAGATTTTGTGGTTCAAATGATTGCATAAACTTATCATGAAGGGAAAAAAGCAATAGAAATGCATTTAGTTGAGCTCTTGGACTGCTTCAAAGGGTGTGAGTTGGATTGGTGAGCTGGTTCTTGAACCAAGCATCATAAAATAAACACAGGTTGGCTTTTGGGTTCATCATGGTTTGCTGATGGAACAGAGAAACCTAAAAAAGAGTTGAATGGAAGGCACCGTTTAAAACTTTAAAAGAGATAAAGACATTGGCAAAGCTCTTTAAGCAATGACAAAGAGTTTTTCCATTTTAGCCCTCAAAAAGTGGAATCTAAATTAAATATTCATAGGATCTGTTTGAGGGTATGACTGGTCAATACAGATGTATTGTACCAAGAACGAGGAGAATATAAAATGATTGCAGTAGGCATCGGACAACATGATATTGATTCCCCGTTAAACACGGCAAATATAGAATCAATCCCCATGTCTCCCAAAATCAGTCACAGTAGCAAATGCATCCCTTAAATTAAGCCAAAGCATAAGTATTTTAAAACCTCCATAGCTTTCTTTATTAGTATTATGTTTCTTCCCTTACCTGTCAAGATCAAAAGAAGCTCAACAACCAAAACAAACCGATCCATCAATCCACTAGGCCACCTCCTCCTTCAGGAATATATCTCTTCCAGATATTCGATGGAAGATTACAGCAGATCAAGGTCATATGGTAATGAGATGATGGAGGTGGACACCCACAGTGGACTACCTAGGCCTTCAGCTTCTTACGATCTAAGGTGCTATAGTGCTGCCCAATCACAGTCCCAGATGGCTAACAACTACGATAACTCGGGGAACAAGAGGGACTACAAGTTGAAGAAAGGGAGGACTGCTTCTGCATCATCTTCTTCGAATGGATGGAACTTTGGTGACCCTGAATTCCAGAGGAAGAAAAGGGTTGCTAGCTACAAGATGTATAGTGTGGAAGGTAAGGTCAAAGGGTCCTTGAGGAGGAGCTTTAGGTGGCTCAAAGATAAGTACACACGGGTTGTCTATGGATGGTGATGATTCTGGCAGATGGGCTCTTGTTCCTTAATTGCTCTTTTTTCCTTTATCTTGCTTGTATTCAAGCTATTTCTGAAAGAAAAGAAAAAAAGTTTCAATTTTTTTGTTTAAAAGGAAGATTTTATTTAAAGCTGTTGATGCCATTGGCCACATCTTACTAGCACGATTGTAAATTCAGTTTCTTCTTTTCTGTTACCTGGAAATTCTTTTCTAGGAGTAATATAGTTCTATATATTCAATAATTATTTCACTAATCTGAAAAGGAAATTGGTTCAATTGGAGAGAAGATTTTGATTAGCTTTTAGCATTGAGGAGTCTAACTTGATCACCATAACCATTTTCCAGGTATAACCGATTGTAAGCTTTTGCATCTAGGAAGTGCTGAAAAGGTGGCTTACCTTATTTGTTCCCAATTTAGTTTATTTTCCCGCAATTTTTATAATCTGGAAATTTTTCCATGAAAGCCTAAGATTTCTCTCATGCATCACAGTTTCTTGTTAAATTGAAGGTACCAGAAACTACTTTGTTTATACAGCTTGGTTTCTGACATATCTTTCTAAATTTTGTGGTCCTCTTCTGCTTTATCTGCTTCCTTCTGCCATCTGCATTATTACTTAATTTTGTAACTGTCATTACCTCTCTAGAACTCAAGCAGTTCTAGTTTTGGACTTACATTGAAGTACTGATATAGTGTGTTGTCTTTTGTCATTACCTCTTCTAAACAACTTCGACGGCTACATTCATGCAAAAAAACGATAGGGCAATATTGATAGATTGGATTTACTACAGGGGTAAAAGTGATCCTTAAACCAATATAAAAATATAACCTTCAAAAATTCGAAACTAATAACCTGCAATCCTTTCTCTTATGTGCTACTAGTAAGGATTCAAGTTCTAGTGTCATTTTGCTAACTTAAAATACCAAAGTTCTTTCCTTTCTTTTAAATAAAGGAATATATTTATGAAACAATCAACTCAGAAGTCAGAATGAGTGGACAATAATGAAGAGGATGTTGTCTTATAATGAAAATAAAGCCTGTTTTTCCAGTTGGATAAATGGACCGGTCCCCATAGTCATTTTGAGAATGAACAGTGAGGACCAAAGGTAAGGGGACCCCAACGTCCTTATTTGGCAGAAATAATGGTGGGGATACCACTCTCGTCCATGAAGTGGCATGAATATCCATGGACAAAGGCCTGTCCTGTTCTTTTTCCCCCCTATTTTTTGAAAACAGTGTTGCAGTGTAGTATAATACTACTAAAAGAAATGATGCAGAAGATTGAATTATAAAGATGCCAGCTGCCGATAGGCATTAGGATCCTCCCTTTGATAGCTTATCCCTTTGAGATGTCCATGTGAGATGTATTTGCCATCTTCAAAGCCAAAGGTTGCCATTTGATGGCACAATTAACCATTCTTGCCATTTGATTAAGCCGCAGAGCACAGAGGGAATGAACCCTTGGCAAAATATCCCTTAAAATCAGTTTTTATGGTTAAACCAGAATCTGTCCCCCAACTCATGCACCTTATCCATTTGCATGGTAGGACCATCTCAGCACACATCAGAAGATTCTGCAATGAACTTTTTGCATTTCTGTCTTCAATATGAAAGTAGTTGTGCTAGCAACTTCATATGACTAAAGATCTATAGCAGTTTAGTTGGCCATAAATCAGTGAATGTCTGTAAAACAGCTAAGATGGTTTTTAATTGGTTCAAATCCCTTTCTTAGGGTGATAAAAAGAACACGGTAAACGATAAATTATTGGCCCATCCAAATAGATTGTCGTACACAGCTCAATGATGACAAATCACACCAGCAACTAACAGTGGGAAGCATATCATCAATGCTTCATTATGCATGTTTTTGCTCGGGATAATCACCAAGTTGCTCCATCTGCCAGCTTTCATGAGGATCCACATGCTCATGGGAAGGAGTATATTGCTGCCAAAATCACCATGAAGTTTTAGATAACTGTAATCCAAGGAATAATCAAATCTCCTAACTGTAAAACCCTATGTTACTGTACAGGGAAAGCACATACAGAACACGAAAAGAAAAGGACGATAATCGACAACAAAGTAGAACACTCATGCTACATTCACACTTTCAAGTTCGACCGTGTATTTCTTGGAAATTATCGAATTGCTTTAAGTGGAAAACTAGTAATTTCTATTAATGATCTCTTTTAGTTTCTTTCATAGAGTGAATTATTGAAGTTCGTACCTCCATCTTCTCTAAAAGTTCTTTGGCTGTTGGAGCAGAGACAATTATATGCCTAGCACTCGGATTGATGAAGCCCTCTTCAACACTCAAATAAAGCGAGCAAATTATTCTAGTAAACATCGACATTTAGCAAACCGACCTGCAATCAGTGTAATAACCATTCACGTGTCTAGCGTAATTCTTCAAGCTTGATGAATGTGCTTACTGTTTTCTTATGTATTCCAAGTTGAGACCATGTTATCATCTCCAGCAACTCTTCCATTGTTCCATATCCACCTATAGCATCAAATGTGAAGGTTAGAAGTCCTTTTTCTATTTAAATAGCAAGACCCTTTCACCAAAATTTCCCCCCTTTTGTTCTTTAGCATCAACGAAAAAGGTGAAGGTATTTTCGTTTACCAGGAAGAGCGATGAAGGCATCGGCTTCTCGGGCCATTTCAGCCTTTCGTTCCTGCATGTCTAAAACAGTTCTTACTTCTCCAACTGTTTCTCCTGATATCTGTCAAACACCATCCACAATTACGCACTAATGATCATCAGGCCTAATACTATCAAGGATTATGCACTGATGACCGATTTTGTCCAGGATTTTCCAGCAAATTCTTTTACCAAATACAGTAACTTGAATAATAACTTCTCCAACTGTTTCTCCTGATATCTGTCAAACACCATCCACAATTACGCACTAATGATCATCAGGCCTAATACTATCAAGGATTATGCACTGATGACCGATGTTGTCCAGGATTTTCCAGCAAATTCTTTTACCAAATACAGTAAGTTGAATAATAAACCTAGATGAAACCTTCACCTGAAAAATTAACAACTGGAAAACGTTTTACGATGTTTGGAAGATGTTATTTAAATCTTTTTTTCACTAGTTGATGAGTTTTTAAAAAATTATTTATTACAAATATTAAATACAATAAATAATATTATTTATCATAAAACTTAATATTATTATTTTTAAAATATTAAAATAATTTATTTATCATTAATATTATTTTTATAATTTATTAATAAAATATTAATATTGGTATATTTTATTGAAATAAAATATTAAATTATATAATTATTTAGTAAAGTAATAGTGTTATATTATATTTTAAAAATATTAATTAGTATATTTTAAATATCTTTATTAAAATATTATTAGATTATTATATTAATATTAAATATAAATAATATTATTCATTATTAATAATTTAATAATATTATTTCTATGAATTAATAATAATATAAATTTATTAATAATTTATTATATATTATTAAAATAAAATATAATATTTATATTAGATAATATAATTGATTATTTTATTATAGTATTAAAATATAATATTATATTATTAGAAATATTAATAAATATATTTTAAATATTTTAATAATTAATATTTTGATTAAAAGGATATTAAAATATTTTTATTAATATTAAATTCATAAAATAAAATTATTTGAGTATTTATTCTTTAAAGTGAAAAATTCGGAAAATGACTTATGGAAAATCAAACCGTAAGTCATTTTCCAGAAAACACAAAAGAAATTCTGTTGACTAGGAAAATGTTTTACGTTGACCAACCAGTTTTCTTCTAACCAAACACTGGAAAATATTTTCCGAAAAACGAATTCGTGAAACAAATACGGGAAAACATTTTTCAAAAACGATTACGTGAAACAAACACGGGATTTCAGAGAAAACTAATTCCATAATTGGATTTCGGAGAAAACCAATTCTGTAATTGGTTTTCCCCAAACAAACAAACCCTAAAAACTTCAAAGGAAAACCAATTAAAATGATTTGAACATTAAAATAAGGTTGCAACTTGCAAGTAAAGATACCTCAAGAGGCATGAGAGCTTTTGGAATTATCCTACTTGTAAAGAACAATCATTACTTAGTAATAAACAGATTGCAAACAAGAAGAAAGCTGCTTGTGCTTGGAACTTGTAACAGTTTCTGCAGAGAAAATCAGTGAAAAATAGGCTCTTCAAGAATTCAAAACCAGGCAAGTTGTTGCTCACTTACCCCAGAACATGGCACCCTCCATCATACAGTCTGGGATATCAAACCCATCAATCCAACACTTCCCCCACCATACACCAAGTCTATCTTCTTCTTTACCTGCAAATCAACACCAACCATAAGCAAAAAACACAAGTCCGCACATTACTAAAAAGGGTAAACAATTTGGACATGGCAGACTTAGATGTCAAGGTAATGAAAACTAGAGGAGACCCAGTTTTTCAAACACCTCACTTGCAACAAGCACCTAATATTTCAAGGGTAGCAAAAATAAAATAAAATAAAGAGCAATAACTAATGGTCAACAGAGTTATTATTATGACTGATACACCAAACAGAAACAACTCCAATTCAGTACATGAAACACCATCAACTCCACCATCAAAGAATCACAAAAAAGTAATAAAAAATCAGGGGGAAAATCTCATCTTTCTCACTAGAAAGTAACACAATTTCCAAAAATCGACAAACACCACTTGCCATAACTTCAAGATAAGTACTACTAAATTTTTAAAGACTAAAAAGTTCATTGCTCAATTCAAGAGCAGAACTCGCTGAAGATTTTTCTATGGCCAGAGTTACTTCCACAGAAAACACATATACTTTTGAACTTGCTTGTGGCTTTCTCTTGTTCCATTAACAATATATCTCTCTAACAATCTATATATCACTTTTGTTTTTATTCCAGTCTCAAATCATTGTGTTTAACTATAGAAAACAAAAGGCAATAGCCTTTTCCCCATGAGAGATAAAAATGTGTTGACGAAAACGGGTAAAGAAAACGAAAGAACACGAGAATTTTACGAGGTTCGGCAATGTGCTTACGTCCTCGGTGCCTAGGCGGCGCTAGAATTTTATTCAATGATATTTTAGGTCTAGGTTACATCTCTATTTATAATAGAAAACCCTGGTACATAATTACAAAATCAACCCTGTACCGTACCGCGGGGCTACGCCCCCGCACCCCCAACCCACATAATTTGTAACCCCACA